AATCATTTTTCAAGTCAGGTAATCTTTAATTTTAGTACTTAAAAAAATGTAAGAATCTAGACAAGTCTGCAATTTATCAATTAATCCTTAGAGTTGTGAAAGAATTAAGGGTATGGAAACAAGAAAGCTTAAGAAGCATTAAATTAAATTATACAGTACTTTTTCGTAGGAACCTGAACTATTTCTCGTATCATAATCCGTAAATAGATATTCAGTAATACGACTGTTTGGTATGTTTCTCTGGCATCAGTCTCAGAGAGACAATACTAAGCATAGTGTTCGTCCTCCAGGAATCTGGGTGAGAAGTCCAATGGGCAACGGGATTCCTGCGGTGGCACTGGCATCCGCAGTCCTGGGCACCCCCGGTTCCCCAGGCACAGGTCGCGTGAGTAGGAGGGAACTCTGGCAGACAGCATCAAGCCAACACATTTTTAAGGACAAAGATGATCGCTTGTCTTTGCAGCTTTTCCCTCTTTCTTCCTCGGTCCCCAGGGAGCACAATATTTTACAAAAGTAAAACTAGGCATAAAATACTTTGCCAAACCACGTCCAAGATGCAGAGTGTGGGCCTACTGTTCCACACGCTCTCGGCAGTGACACCAGCACCTTAGAAGACAACGCTGGCCAGGGCAGTTGCTGAACCTCTGTGCCTTATTGTCGTCGTTGTCTTGTTAGAGCAGCAGATGCACAGCACATAGTGCGTCAGTCTTGCAGCAGGGCGCCTCTGCTCCGAGCCTGCTGTTGAAACGCTGCTTTTCTTTTGTTACCTCTCTGTTGAAGAAATCTTCTCTAAGTGCCATGCACATCGTGTCGCATTCCATAGCCATGAGTAAGAATGTTTTTCCTCTAGTTCTCATTGCCTCCCTTATCCTTAGGGCGTCTGTTTTTTCTGTGTGTTTTCCACCCAGCTCTGGAATTTTCATTTTCGCCCTAAATAAATTAACATTGATGACATGTTCAGGGAGTCCTCTGGACTTGATTTTCTGTCTTGATAATTTTTTCAGTGCCACAAGGAGGCAGCACTAACTTGATTAGTGATAATTATTCTTATTCTTGCCTGGGCAACTGGAGTGTCAACCTATCCCTTCTTTTAGATGTTTTTTCCATCTATGGCGCTGTTGAGTGTCACCATTTCTTCTTTCCTACAATACCCAGTGTTAATGAGTATGTGGGGAAGCAGTCACCACCCTGCACTGTGATAAAGGGTTAACGGGGCAACCTGCAGGGTGCATCTCTGAAGACTTCACATTGTTCACAGCCTTTGCTCTGGCATTGCCCCTCCTCATCTCTCCCACCCCAGGTAATTACTCTTAAGGAAATTGTTGTAACTGTAAGCAGAGATTTGGCCTCAGTATAGCATGTTTATAATAACATAATCTGGAAGTCCATAAAGATCCCACAAAAAGGGATTTGGATCCTATAATGAATTATTCCGTGGCTGTGTTTTTCCAAAACGTGATATCATATCAGCAGTATTTGTTCCCATTTCTCTGTACCTCTTCCCTGCCCCAGAATCATTGTCTCACCTCGGTTTGTCCACGCTCCTAGACAGCCAGCAGCTCAGGCTGCCCACATACATCCAGATTCTTCTCCCCATGCTCCTCCTGGAGCCCCGACCTGTCTCCTCCCCAGGGCCCAGGCTTCTTCCTTTCCTCACAGCTCCAGTTTCTGTTCCTTTCCACATAGGTCCTTCACACACATGCACACACACACCCCATCTGCAGCTAGCTCCATACCCATTGCCTTCAACTCAACTCTGCCCGCTTTGCCTTCCTCTTTGTCATTTTCGAGCACACATCCCCTAGAAAAGTCTTTCCGAATTGTTTCTACCCCATATGGGCCTCACCTTGGCCTCCAGGCTCCTCTTTGTCCCTGGACATCCTGATTCCCTTCCCCAAGCCACTGCAGTGGCTTAGCTTCAGCATTCAGATCCACAGATGTTCAAATACTTCCTGGAAATTCCTTTCTTCTTACGCTGCCCTTTATGTTAAGCCCATATCTTTCTGCTCTCTTTGTCCTCCTCACTTCTGACTGAAAGGTCCTCATCATGCAGTTTGTTTGGCAAGGAGGACTTCCTCAAATATCCTATTTGATTTTTAGGAAACAGTCATAAATATCAGCAGGGCACATTCCTCCCTAACAACAGTGTTCACCTCCATGTAATGGTACCCACACACATGGCAAGAAATTTCTTGCGGAAAATATGTGGGCAGTTGCTGTCCCACCCTCATCTTACACAGCTTAGGGGACAAAGCTCACTCTCTACCCCGCCATAACCCTTTTTAACTTTATTTTTTATTAGTACGTATTCATCATACATAGTGATCACATTCATCATAGGGAATTTGTACCTGTGCATAATATATCTTAATTCTTTTTCCCCACTCCCTTCCCCACCCTTCAAGCTCTCCTTCCCTCTCCATTTACCAAAGCTTTGCTCATCTTTGAGGACAAGATGGCTGTAGGGGAGAGATTCCTGTTCAAGTGGACTAACCAAAACCTGTTAAATCTCAGATGGCTCCCAGACAACTTCTACCTTCATTAAGGGTCTAATCCCATCTGTATGCTGAATGACACACACCTCAGCACCATGACAGTTGACATCTGCCATAATGATGACCTGAAAGAACCATAAAAGGAGCAAGAAGTGGTGGCTCCTGAATTCCTGGTAAACCTGCACCCATTCTCAGAATACGTGACAATTCCTTCCCTCCATTAGCCTATCCCTCCCCTTACTGCTTTCATCTATAAACTTCCAACCCTCAATGGGTTGGGTTGAGAAGTGATTCACTAGTTTCTACCCCACTTCTATTCTTGGCCAAGAACAGAACTTTCTTTACTGCTTAGTCAGCACTTAGTCTTGTTATTGATTCCACAATTCTGAGAGGAAGAAAGAATCTAGTTTGGGATCAAAAGTTGCTAACAAAGTGGGTTAATTCATAGATCAGGACTTATAAAACTGGTGAATTTGTCAAATGGAAATTAAAAGGAAGTTAATATTTCCTATAAGTCCTACAATCTAGACAGTTGTGAGGAAACAGAGAAGAAAGAAGACAAAATCCAAGTAAATATATTTAAAAATTAATCTAAATCAGAACCTGAAATCTCACTTGAAAGTCATTGTGGTCTTTGTAAAGAATTTTTTTAGAAGTTGGAAATTGAACTGTGATAAATAATACATGTTGTTGGTACGTGTGTATTACAACTACAGCCTCTTACCAAGGATTACATTTAAGTACAAAATAGTCATTAATATGTAATCTATGCAATAAAGGGATCCAAAAACTTACAATGCAGACCTTGAATTTTCCTGTAAAAGTTAAAACACTTAAGAAGACAAGAAGTATGTAACATACAATACCTTTGGGTTCTGTTATTGATAATGAAACAGAAGAGCAGGTACTTTCAATGGTATTTTCAACATCTTCTAAATATGTCAAGGTATATCGAATAAAATGTAAAATTTCTTTGAAGTACAAGAATAAATAGCCAAAAAGATATACCTAACCATCTGACAAGTGTATGAAAATAAACTTTAGTAATATAGATGCATGTCATCTTTGGAAAAAGATCCTTACCTTAAATCTCCAATAATTCTAAACATATCCACCATTATCAAGCATTGAATAGTTGCATTTTACTTAACTTTCTAATTTTCTGAGTCACTTCTTTAAGAACCAAATCTTTAGTCAGTTTTAGTTAGAATTTCTGTAAAATGTTTTGCTTCTTACCATTTCCTGCCTTCCTAACTATTGTAACTTTTCTGGATACTTTCATCTTCCTTATGAGCTTCCACCATGGTACAGCGGAGGTCAAGTCTATTAGCACCTGGACTAAATGACCTCATGAAATTAAAATGTTAATGTTCCTATGTCAGCTTTTTATTGTTTGGTTGTCCTAACAGTGAGAAATATCATGTCTGCAACTCCCTGCTTGCTCTATTGCTGTGAAACACTTCTGCATGGGACTCTCAAGCTCCTAGATGTCTTGCTGGTTACGCCAAGAATGCAAGACCCTGAGCCTTATCTGGAACTTTTCTCAAGGTTGTGTTTGCAGTGAGCAAGCCTGAGAGGTAAAATAACCTTTCCTCCCCTACCAAGATTTCTGTAAAGAAGCATGCTGCCTGGGTACAGTGTCCGTGTCCCTCCAGGAAACCCGTGTGTGTGCAGCACACACGTGTGTACCACTGGTGCTGCCCCACAGCACTTGAGTTCCAGGACCCAACACTGCCGGGCCAACACTCCAGTTACTACCTCTTCTGAGAAGAGTTTTCAGCGCTGACTCCGGAAGCCTCGTGGCTTCTGTCAAACACCCTAACATCAGGGCAGGCTAACTTGTTAAGCTTTTGGAATGGTAAAAATCTCAGGTCCTTCAGAATTCTCAAAATCTGCCTTCCACCTGGTTTCATTTATACCTTTAGCAAATGATTTGAGTACCCAGAATTCTGTTACGTTCTAGGGGAATATAAGGTGAAGCAGAGATGGAGAAGTTCTGCCTAGTGAGGAATACTGATATTCAAACAGACGCTTTTTAGCGAGAAAAAAAAATGATTACTATTAAAGGCAAGGGATGAGGATGGCTTTCTGGAGGCAATGACACTAAATTAAGGATGAAGGATAATTGGCCACACTAAACTAGAGGACAAAGAGACATGTCCCATGGCAGGGACGAGAGAAACAGTGTGGAATGAATGAAGAACTAAAATCAGGTCAGTTGTGCACAGATTCACTGAGAGACTCCTCAGCTCAGCGATGCAGCTGAGAAGCAGCAGAGATCAGATTACCGACTGACCAGCAGGACCTCTTCTGGAGTTTCATCTGCGTCCTGGAACTAATGGTAGAACTGCGGAAGTTTATGGACTCTTAACAATCAAATCACAGAAGTGTAGTGGGAAAATGGAGTTGTGGTAGAGAATTGGAATGCCAGTTAACCAGCTTCAAGATACTAGTTTCCTCTGAGAAGAAAGCAGTCTGAGAAACAGAACTCGGTACTATAACAGGTAAGTTTAGGTATATCTTTAATGCTCTGTTTCATTTGAAAATGACAAAGAGAGATGAAGACAAAAAAGCAAACAATTTTAGGCATGTAGAGCAGCTGTTATATATAATTATCTGTAGGCACCTATTTTCTGCACTTTAGTATGTTTAAATATTTTATAACTTAATTTGAGCATTAATTAAAGCCACCCATTAATATGAACTTCATGCAACAAAATGCACTACATAGTGATCATATTCCTGAATAATTTCACAATTCAGATAGCTGTAAGTTTTATAGATAAGGGCCAACCCATGTGAGTTTGAGCAGAAATTTTTCTCACACATATTAATAAACTAAGAAGTATGTCAGTAAATTCTCAATTACACCCCTTTACTGATTTCTGCAGGAGACCAGAGTTAAGACTACTGCCCCCTAGACAATTGCAGCATGTCCTTCAATACCTTCTCTGAGTTCTATAGCACAATAATTTGCGGCTAATAGTGACTGAGTGCCCTCTGATGGTGTCTTTGCAAATGAAATGCCTGTGTTTAGAAGAATCAATGTGATTAAAAACACAGCCAGGGGCCGGGATTTAACTCAGTGGTTTCATCGCCTGCGGTGCAAGCACAAGGACCTGAGTTTGATCCCCGGTACCAAAAAATAAAACAAAAACCCACACAGCCAGGAATTAATTATACAGTGTCCTTTCACATCTTAACACATAGTAGATACATAGATAACATAGTAGATATGCAATAAATAGCTGTTAACTGACTGGCCAGCTGCAAGAAAGCTCCTTCTAGGAGGGCAGGGAGTGTCTAGTTAGCCTCAGCCCCTGGTGTGGTAAACTTGTGTAATGGGGAAGTTTAATTGTCAACTGGATTGGCCTGGGAGCTAGCAAGAGGATTAGGAAAGCACACTTCTGTGTGTGCCTGGGCGGCCCACAGAGGCTTGAGTTTAGGGTCTGTTAATTGGTCCTGGGCCCCTTCCTTTCTGGCACTGTTCCCCCACTTTGTTTCCCGACCACTGTGAACTAAACAGCTTTCCTCCACCATACCTTTCCACCATACTATCTTTCTTGGAGCCAGCAGCCATGGACTTAAACCTCTGAAACCATGAGCTAAATAAGCACGTCCTGTAAGTTGCAGGTATCAGATATTTGACCCAGCAATGGGAAAGCTGACAACAAAACCTGGCCTAAAGTGGAGAACAGCTAGTATTTACTGATAAGTGAAGAGAAAGCTAAAGAGACTTTGACTTCTAATGGAAATTTCCCAGGTCTCCATGAGAAAGTATCTCTTCCTCTCAAATTTGTATTTCCTATAAGAACATTTAAGATCTTTTCTTACAGATACTTGTACTTATTCCTCATTTCTGTTACTCTAGTAGAGTACCTTTTAAGTCTTGAGAGCAAGGTTTATTCCCTTTGTGTAACTTATTACAATGCGATAGAAAGCAGAAAGAAAAATATTAACACTAAAAAAAAAAAATTAATGCTAAAGTTAATTCATTGAAACATTTTTGCAGTTAAGCAGAATTGTATTATTATTAATTATTATGCAACTTCAACCATTTAAAATGAACCCCACTTACCTGTTTTAAGTTATTTGGTAGCAAATGAATGGACTATAATATGCCTTGCTGTGCTACCTTAACGGCTAGCATTCCTGTTTGCTCAGCTATTTCCTAGTAAAGACCAATGAACAAAGACAGCTGCCAAACATTTTCTAGGTTGTTTGTTCTGTTTGTAAACAGAAAGTGTATAATATTTAACAAGATGTAATCATTTGCAAATTGTTTGAAGGTTTATGCAGAATGGGAGAACTGAAAGAGAGAACAGGGAAATTAATGCAATTCTTAAGTGCCTAATGACCCCATTAATTGAAAGATAGGTAATTGGAGAAATTAAACAGAAGGAGTAATGGCCTTGGAGTCATTAACTTCTTCTGGGAGTACTGCTAATGTTTAGCAGGTGATTTTCTTCTGCACTGAGAGTTGAAAATCAATCTACTTTAACGCAGCCATTCTTGAATCTACCCAGTTAAAAGCATCTCTTGAAAAGCTTTTGAACAATACAGATCCTATAATCTTCTTCATGTTCCATAACCAGACTCTTCAGTGTGGGACAAGGCATAAGGATTTTTAAAAGTTTGCCAGTTTATATTTTGTTGTTGTTCTTTTTGATGAAAGCTGATCAAGCTTAGGCATTGTTGTTTTAGAACTCAACCTTGGGAATATTAGCACTTTGGGATGGCCAACTTTGGAGAGGTCCCATGCATTGTAGGATGGTTAGAAACACCCTTGGCCTCGCTCCCTGACCAGCAGCACCTACTTCCTTTGAGTTGTAGGAAGAAAAATGTCCCTAGACAGCTCCAGATGCCTCTGGGTAATAAAATCATCACCAGTTGAGAGCTATCGCTTTAGTGTTTGAAACAATGTCTGATGGAACTTGCTGCAATAACAGCGATGCCACAAGCACCATACATATGGCTATTGAGCGATCAAAATATGCCTAATGAGACTAAGAGTGAAATTTTAAATTTTATTTTGATTAATTTAATTTTGCAAACTGCATGTGACTAGTGGTCATTATACTGCACAGCATGGCTTTACAAGATCCAGATCTGACTGTAGGCTCTGGAATCCATATGATTTCCCCCAGGTGTTTCTAAGACCTGTCATATAAAACTGACTGACATGAATAGGAAATCTACCTACTCTCCTGTCTGAAACAGACAAATATCCTAGGATGCTGTGATTAAAGTTTTTGTTTACTAAGGGTTGTCTAGGAAGTATTCTTTTATCATCCTTGATATCCGGAGCATCAGAGTTAAATCAGCCTAGGTGGAGACTGCCCCCTTCACTCCCAAGCATGGTCTCCTTTCCCAGATCATCCTCAACACTTTCTTGGGAAAAGTTCTCACTTTTGTCTACTTATTGTCATTTCTTAACAGGTTAAATATACAATTACCATTTGACTCCACAATTTCACTCCTAATCATCCACCCACAAGAAATGAAAATTTAGGTCTACACAAACACTTCTACACAAATGTTAAGAGCAGCATTATTAATAATAATGGAAAAGTGGGAATAACTCAATATCCATCAAAGCATGGATATCTCTATACAATGGACAATTATTTGGCAATAAAAAAGAATAAACTACTGATACCATGCTAGAACATAGAGCAACCTTAAAAACAGCATACAAAATGAAAAAAATCAGTCACAAAATATCACATATTACACAATTCCATTTATCTGAAGTGTCCAGAATAGGAAAATCTATAGAGACAGAAAGTAGATTTATGGTTGGTGAGGGCTGGAGTGAATGTTGAGATTTAGTGTGATATAGAGCTGTTGAATATAGTTTTTCTTTTGGAAGTCATGAAGACATTGTAAAATTAAATTCTGGTAATAGTTGTACACCTCTGTGGTTATACTAAACACCATTGAATTGTATGCCTAATTGGATAAGTTTTATAGTAAGTGAATTATATCTCAATAAAGCTGTTTCAAAAATCTGTTGGGACAATCCATGACATTAACAGATCCAACAAGAAAATCTGTCTGATCGTTATCAGTTGGTGCAAAGTATTTATTTCTGAACTGGAAGTAGCTTTTGAAAGTATTCTTCCAAAACAGTCACTACTGCCTACCACCACACTCGTTTCCAGAATAATTGAAGTGATGCTGCATTTTATCAAACTTGGGCTAGAAATCCTTAAGAATGACCCTTACTCAACAAAATCACTCCCCTCTAAGGGGGTGTAGGATGTTGTAGTATATGGAAGAGTGAGGAAGACACCCCTTGGATCAGGGAGTCCATCTTTGTAATTCCTGATTCCTATCAGCATCTGCTGTCAAGAGGAATAATAGACACATGAACACTGCCAATGAGAATAATACAAGGAAAAGAGGTTTCCGATATCCAGCTGCATTTGGCCATGAGTCAGACCCTCAGGGTGGATTATAACCATCCTAAGCAATGGCATGGAAGCAGCTCTGTCAAGGCATTAGAAGATTACATTCACTTTTAGGGCCTGAGCTCTCCATGCAGTCCCAAAGAGAGCCCACTCTCCAATTTTAATCTCACTCAACCCAGATAACTTTATAGGAAATCAATCTATTTCTGGGTTTTTGTTATAAAGTGGGATCTTGTACTGGAAATAATGGTCAAGCTCACACTGCTTGAGCATTGACTATTCAGGAGACCTTGAAGTGTGTAGAAGGCAAGAAGGGGAAAACAACAAAAGTCAAGTGAAATGAAGTAAACCAAAAAGAAAAACATCTGTATCAAAAGCCATTAAGAGCCATTAAGCCATTCTTTATCATCCAGAAGAAATAATGTCTCAAGAATTTAAACAGTTTGGGTGGCTAGAAAGAGATCTATGATAGAATTATATGAAGACAAACAGAGGCATGGTTTTTAAGACAAGGAAGAACTGGCTTGTTATAAAAGAACACATAGGGAGAAGTATGAATTCAGCAGAAAAGTCATTGAGACCACTTAAAGAGAGTGGCACTCTCTAGATTACAGAAATTTCTTGTGTATTTTATAAAGAACTACAACTTAACAGGCTTTGAAGTTTCCCGACACAAAGAAATGGTAAGTGCTTAAGAAAATTGAAATGTTACTCTGCCCTGATTTGGTCATTACATATTCAACACAAGTATTGCATTATCACACTATACCCCTTAAGGATATACAATTTTTAAAAAATAATAAAACAATGACATCAAGCATTGGGTCTTTCTTAAGCTTTCTTCCATTCACCAAGGATGCAAATGGTAGCAGGAGAGCATTTATGAAAAGAGAAATGCCCTTCAGAGTGCTTCTGGGAAGAGTCTGATTTATTTGGAAGGCAATCGTCATATTCAAAACAAGAGGAGTGCAGAGTCCCTTCTCTGACCGTCACCTTCTGTCTGAATTGAGAGTTCTGAGACCCCCCCAACGCACCCTTAGCACTTAAATTATTTTTTAAGTTGCTACTTTTTGTCTGCCCTCCCACTAGATGGTAAACTTCTCAAGAACAAAATAGAACTGAGGCTTATTGTTTGTCATTTGTATCACTTTCGTTTTCAAAGATTTCTTATCAAAATATACGAAGGCATACATTTCTATGTCTGTGGGTAGGTTTCATTTTCAGGTGTTTCTTAGGTCAACTGGCACCTTCCCAGACTAGGTAGCCCAAAGGTTAGCTGCATCCCTGGACTGGGCCTCAAAGCCAGTGGTAAATCACTCTGTACTGTAAGACCCAGTTTCACTAGTGAGGGGCCTGGACTCAAATGGATTTCTTACACATGTGCTCGCTACAGTGGTTTTAGTGTCATTCTGTTGGCTTTAAGTGAAATTTCTTCCAAGTAGTGTTGCTTAGTAGACTTCAGACATCTGAACCATGTTCCCCTTTTTGGGCACCCCGGTAAGATCTGCCTGTTATTCCGCTCATGTTTACGTGACGCGCTAAAGGAACCGGCAGCTCAGCAACACCCACAGGGTGTGGACGAGCTCATGCTCCTTACGTGTTGCTATCTGCATGGGAAGAGGGAGGGTGGGAGGCAGGGTGACTGAGCCATTGGAGATTCTGATTTATGTCTCAGTCGTGCACCTGGATCCTGGGTATTAAGTAAGAAACTGCGTGATGTATAGTCCAGATCCCTAACCCTAATCCTAGCACTTGCCCTCTTTGTTTGTAACCCAGGCTTTCTCTAAGTAGATCCTCAAGTTGCGAGGTTATAAGGGATTGTTTGGGCAAGAAGCGTGCTTCCATAAAAATCTTCAGATTGCCGTATTTCCGCTTACTCCGGCTTAGGACACATCGTAACGGACAGGGTTTCTGTTTCTCCAGTCAGATACCTGAAGTCCCTGTGTCCCCAGGCAGCCCCAGCCTGGAGCCCATCATCACCGCCAGCCAGAAGACGCCCTACGGCCTGCAGTGAGAGAAGGCGGGCAGAAATGTGCGGGTTCCTTTCTGAAAACACACAAGACGGACTTTGGATCGAAAACTCTGTATGTGTTGAAACCTTCGGCCAGGGTGATAAACCCGTGTGCCGCGTGGCACGGACGTCCCTGACTCGAGCACAGAGCAAAGGTCACCGTGCTTAGTCACAGGCAGAGCGCTGAAGAGGCAGCGGACGAGACGTTCAGGCTGCCCGCTGGCGGGCAGCTCCCGCCTGCTTCAGCCCCTCTGAGGATCAGGTTCCGCAGAGAGCCCCAGCTCTAAATCCCGGGTTTCAGATGAGAAAATCAGTGTGGAAATCCTCTCCCAGGATCTAGAGATCTACTTCCCTCTTTCATCAGTTCAGTCTGCGGTACACAATGATCACATTTACTGTGGGAAGCAGACGCGTGCACACGGCCAATCGTAATTCTGCTGGTCTTTCATCCCAGCTCCTTCCTACTCCTCCCTCCCTGCTCTCTGGAACCCTTGGTCCCCTTCCTGCTTGCAAAAGCTCTATTTTGTGGTTGTTTTTCCCTTCATTTCTTTTTTAAATCCAGTTTTAACAGTGATGAGCGCTGATTTTCCATAGAGTAATGAAACCTCGAAGTAGTCCACAACTTCTAAGCCAGCGCTGACTTCACTGTGCAGCGGAGGGGCTGATAAAGATGCAAGGTCACAAGGCCCAACTCCCATCACATAACTCGGTTCCAACCCAAAAATGCACTGTATTTTCATTGTGTAACACTTTACCGTGTATAAAATAATTTAAATTTTTCATAACTCTACCAAAATACATTGTTTACCATGTTCTCTTGTGATTAAAGGTAAAATGAACCACTGACTTACAAAATGAAAAAAAAAAAATTATACTATTCTACTTCAGATTTTTAAATCCTGTTTTACAGCTGATCACACAGAGCATCAAACAGGGAGCTTGTTGGAGAAGGCCAGTGTGGTGAATAAAATGGATGTGAAAATTTTGAAATCAAGCCAGCCACGTGGAAGTTTGTACAACACAGAAGTCTTCTTCGTGAGGTTCCGGCAGAGCCAAGAAAATCCTGTCCTCCTCATTGTCCAAAAGCAGCTATCATCACTTGCAGAGCACACCCTGTAATCAGTGGAGGGATTCCAGGGGTGGGTCACATTACCTCACAGAACTTATAACAGACACTAAAATTCAGACAATGAAAACTGAGAGAAAATAATCAAGTAAGTATACACAGAAGAATGATAGATTCTGTGGATTTCGCTGATCATGCACAGTCTAGGGCTGCCAACAGTCTCCAGCCAGCCTGCAGAAGGAAAAAGATGTATCTATGAGGACTGTTTTCTAATAATATATGATATTATCTGGGATTAGAGGGAAGTTTGGATAAGAAACAGGATGAGCTAAACACTAAGCCAGGTTCTGTCACCCTTAACTCCATGTATTCTTTGAAGTAACACTAAGTTTGGAGTGATCTTAAGGTGTTCTTGTAAGTTCTGCAGAACCCAAATGACCACCTGAAGGCAAGTGTGCTTATAAATATTGGTTGTTGGCTCCCTGAGTCTGGATTAATGTGTACACCTCTGCCTTTTCACATAGCTTTACATTGCATTCTTCAATTTCCAATTCTGAAGCTTAAATGAGAAAAAAGAAATTAACACTTCCCTAGCTTCATTTTTGTCATCTGAATAATGGTGGGCTAGATGGAATCACCACTATGTTCTCTCCCCGACTCTACCCTCTGTGCTGTGTGGTTCTAAAGACACAGTGTCCTACATTAGGCAGTGTATTAGTCAGCTCTCCACCATCACTACAAACATCTGAGATCCAAAGGGCTGTTTTGTCTCCGTTTTGGAAGTTCCAGTCTATCATCAGTGGGCTCCATTGCTTTTGGACCTGAAACAAGGCAGCACATCATGGAAGGAGCACATGGCACTGCAGAACCATTCTCCTTGCTCCCAGGAAGCAAAAGAGAGCAAGAAGAGAACAGGATTCCCACAATCCCCTCTGGGGGCACAACCCCAAAGACCTAAGGACCACGCCATGGGCTCTTCGTCCTAAAGACTCCACCACTTCCCATTCTAGGGACCATGCCATTAGCACATAGACTTTGAGGGCCATTCCACATCCAAGCTGGAAGGAAAAGTACGATCAGTATTCCAGATCCCCAGTTCTTACCTAACAGAAAAGCTGAAATATTTACTAAGCGATGCCTCAGTGATTGCTCTCTAAGCCTAATTCTTCACTAGCTATTTACTGTATAGGAGGTTAGGGTCCCTGACAAGGGCATTAAAAGAAAAAGAGATAAAAGAAAGAGGATCTAGGTGGAAGGTAGTCTTTTCAATTTTTTTCAACAATTTGCTTATATTTTTATTTTCAGACATACATTACTGATTACCACTTTATTTGCATGGAATATTGCATTTTTAATTTCTCAGCAAGCATTTCTGTTACAGCCTGTGCCTAGAACTCCCCACAAAGCCTCATGCAGTCATAGGTGGGGCTTTTACAGAGGTGGCTGGATCTATAGAGTGTGTGATGCTTGAATTGATTCATGGTGCAATGCTAGGATCAAGGGCTCTAGGATTAAGGGTCTGAGTGCTACCCAATCTAAGTAGTCTGCATAAGATACAGGGGACAGAAAGAGCTTTGCTACTTTCTCCCCACCATCAACTGTCTCTCCTCTGCAATGCCTGGCTGCCATGCCACCTTGCCTTGGAGCCAGCTGATTATGGACTGAAACCTCTACAAACTGAGCTAAATAAACATTCCCTCCTTTAAATTTGGGTGTCGGGTATTTTGTCTCAGCAACCAAACAAGTAACTAAGACAATTTCTTAAATTATTTCTAGAATAAACTTTCTTAATTTCAACATTATCTTGGAAATACCTGTAAAGTACTTGGAATGCATATTAGCTTTATTAAATAGTTTATTATTTGTCCTCTTAAATGCCGTGAGATGGGAAGTTTGGAATCTTTCTTTGGAATATGAGGAAACTAAAATACACAAATATTTAACACATAAAGGAGGAAGAATTGGTCTTACAAGGTCACTAAGGGATACACAATTATAGCTCCACAGGAGGGAGGAGGGACTGCCCAGCATGAGACAGGTCCATAGACACCTAAATTCCCTTTAGATTACTCTAAGGCAGGTATTTAACTAGTGGCAGAATCTAGATAAATACTCAGATAACTTAACTCTACACTAGCTGTCTTTTTTCTAGATTTGCTATATTAAAACAGCTACCCTGTCCCCACTTTATGTTCCTGCAATGACACCCATAAAGGTGGGGCATTGGAGCTGTCCACTTTAATCTCAGGCTGGAATTGTAATTCCTTTACATTTCCCCAGGAACAGAGTGAAACCAATTCAACAATGTTTCAGAAAATCAGTCGCTCAAGGAATGGCTCAGTACCCTGGGATGGAGAGGCCATTTGGACCTCTCACTGAGACCCTGGTGAACTTTGAAAATATCACATGAAACTGAATGCTATGTATTCATTACAGATCAAGAATGAAGGGGTGAGGAAACAAGATCTACCCCTGCCCCAAAGAACAACTTTCCTCAGTGGTACAAATCCATCTGACAGAATCTATGTGGATTTGGAAATTTGAAAAAAAAATTTATGACATCATCCAATTTACCCTTCCTTTTAATAACTAAAAAGGATTCACTGAATGATTTTCTGTGCCTTCAGACATTTACTAAGATGAAATCCAAACCACAGCATTTTTAGGAGTTGAATTATTTAAAAGTGTCCTTCAATAACCCTTTCCAATATCTCCCTAATACCAACCACTCGGTTAATATCCAACCTAAATTTTTTTCTGCTACTTATTGAGCTGTTTATTTTCTTTGACCCCTTGAGAAATATGGGCAAAGAGAAGGGTCCCCTTTTCTGAAACCCTCTCTTGGTGTCTGTTGCCTTTTTCTGTGAATCGAAATAAAGAGAGTACATGGGGAAGATGTTCAAAAAATAACACTGTTTAATTCTCCAAAAAATAAAGGAATCAGGGATAAAGTTATTGTTTTGACTTTCTCACATATTAGCTCTGTGACCTTGAACAAATGATGTAACATTTATAAACTTCAATTTATCCTTTTGTAATACAGACATAATACTTAAACCAATTATTGTAGAGTAATGGGATGGTACAGAGAAACTGATTCATGTGTTGGTAGGAATATAAAATAGTGCAATAATTGTGGAGAACTGTATAGCAGTTCCTCAAAGAAATTAAACATAGAATTTCCATAACATTCAGCAATTCCACTTTTGCGTATATACCCAAAGAATGGAGAGCAAGAAATCAAGCAAAAATGTGTACCCAGTGTTTATAGCACCACTATTTATAGCCCAAACAGGTAAAAATCACCCCAATGTCCTGATAGAAAAATAAATAAGTGCTGTAAGCATGTGTGTATTTCAGCCTTGAAAAGGAATAAAATTCTGACACATGCTATGACACAGATGAACCTTGATATCGTGCTGAGTGAAATAAACCAGACACAAAAAGGCAAAAACTGTATGATCTCATTTATTTGAGACACCTAGAGTAGTCAAATGCATAGAGACAGCAGAATGGTGGTTCTCAGGGTCTAGGAGCAGGGTAAGGGCAATTTAGTGGACAGAGTTTCAGTTTGGGTTGATGAAAAAGCCTAGAAGTGGACATTGGTGATGACAGAACCACGATGTGAATGCACTTAATGCCACTAAATGCTACACTTCAGAATAATCAAAATGGTTAAAAAATTATATTTTATTACAATTTGGGGGTTAAGAAAACAGGATCCAACCTTCCTCAGTAGCACAAAGATATGTCCACTATGTATTCTCCACTCAGCAGAGGATATGGGGGATTCAGATGTAAAAGAAAAAATATGGAAGTTACTGTTGAAGACAGAACAAATACCTACAGTGACCAAGTCTAACAGACGATGGCTCTGGTCCGAGGCTACTCTGAGAGTGAGAGCAAAGGGCTGTGAGCATGCTAGGATGGAGTGAAGGGAAGGCACGGGCAGGCATGAGCCCAAACAGGGGTCCTTGATGGGCAGGAACGAAGCTTCAACAACTTTCAGATCCCGGAAGCACTAGTCAAGCAATTACTCTTCTTTTCCCCATCTTGAAACACAGCCATTTTCCTCCTATTCCAACTGGAACTCCAGGGATCCCATGCAATATTCATTAGTGAGCATTTTATACTGCATAGCACCTTCATGCCAAGCGACTACTCAAAAAGCTAGAGACAAGAAATTTAAATACCTGTTTGAAACTGGGAGGGATGGCCTAGAAGAAAATTCGAGGCTGGATATTGAGTGACAGATCATGTGGGATAAGTGGAGATGAGCTGCAGCAGATCATTAATGTCATCAGGTACTCACAGTTCAGTCCCAGGACAATGGTGCCACAACGCTGCTGTAAAGGCGTAACAAAAGGTGAAGTTCTACTCTGGCAATGGTAGAAAGAGATTATGGGGTTAGATTTTATGAAGAGTTGTGGCTGGATGATACAATGGAAAAAAACATGAATATTGGTGGCAGAGAGATGAGGACTCAAATCCCAATTCTATCATTACCTTGTGAATCTGAACAATGTTTTCCCTTTTCTTAGCTTTTCATGTGGACAGTAAGAATTCCTACATCTGTGGCTTTGGGACAAGATGATGACAATTTATATAAATGTCTCTCATACAGAAAGGGCATTATAATAATGAGAAGAAAAGTAGCAATAAAGTTTTCAATGGAGCCGTCTATGATTGCTGTTAGATTGTAATAAAAATAGCTAATATACCCAGCACTAACATTAATGCCCAGCACTAGTCTAAGTTATTTAAATCGTGAACTCTCAGGAGATGGCCATTATAATTAAACCAACTTTATATGTGAAGAAACTGAAGCACAGAGAAGTTAAGATATTTGCCAAATGTCACAAAATATAATTACTATTGCTGGAATACATATTGCAAACTGTGATAATACAGAGCAGAAAGGAAACTTAGTAACTTTCACCTTAATAAATGAAATGATTAGAGAAGACAAAAGACACTATCTTTGAATCCCTGTAGCTGTGCTGGGGTTATAGTTTAAGACTAGAGTGTCTACTAAGCACACATGAGGACCTCATTTCTATCCCCAGCACCAAAATAAAATAAAATACCTAGATCAAATCATGAAAGGTTTGTAATAGTCATATTAGATTTCTAGCTAGGACTAATTCCATCAATAAAGCTAATGAAACATAAATCACCATATCAAATTAATAATATACTTATACTTATTATAATAATATACTTATTAATAATATACTTCATTCATATGGTGAGCTATACATTTAAAATGAAATACACCAATTTTTATTGCTTAAAGCTCTCATATTTTGATAATTTTAGAATTCAAATGTTTGAATGTAGATATTGTTTGTTATAAACTTTTTTTCCAATTAATAATGCAGAAGAAATAGATTACCTAAAAAAATTTAGACTGATTTTTTATAGTAGAACTATCATTGTAAAAGTGACCTGTGTGATTACAGTTGTACCTCAAGAACACCGAGCTAGCTGCAGAGGAATGTGGTGTTGACCAGGTCCCAGGTTTATTTACACGGTATGATTTAGGAGAAGCAAAGTACAGCCTGATACACCTCAAAAACCCATAGAGAAATGCAAAGATATTCTGCTTGGTAGTGATTAGCAGAAGGTACATGATACGTCAGTTCCGACAGATTTTTCATGATGAATTTTATGAATTAGCAGCATAATTTTTAAATATTGGAATACGAATACTCTGAATTAATAGTATTTGTGAAATACTATAGTATATACAATAGAGTATATACATTATATAATATACATTATATACTGTTTATAAATATGCATTATACACTATATATACATGTATGTTATAATATACATTATAAAGTGTATATACAGTATAATGTATGTGCCACATACGTGGTATGGTATACACATTTTATATACAGTATAGTATATAGTAATACAGTATATTAATATATTATATATTAATATATTGTATTAGTTATATTAATATAGAATTAATTATACCAATATATAATACTAATATTATTTGTGGAATAGTTGTAGACTATAGGAAACCTCCTAGCCTCAAATGTCTTCCAATGAGACAAAGTAAATGAACAGCACTCAAGATACAGCATTAGATAAAATAAAATCAAGAAAAACAGAAGAAAAGAATTAATGAAAATAAAAGCAAAATTAAATTGGAAAACACAAAAATTGTTAAATCAAAACTTACATTCTCTGTTCATAAATAAACCCTCAGAAACTTCGATCAAAAGCGGAGTGCACAGCAGGTATTTAAAAAGAGATATAACTGTTTATATGAAAAATATTCTTAATAAAAAGAAGAGACAGTACAAATCTTACAATCTAAATAAAAAGGATAAATTGATGAGAAAGTAGAAAAATGCTAAGATTGATTCAACAAGATAGAGAACATGAATATCTCAATAACAGAAGAAATCAGAATTATAATAAAAACTATATCCTTTGAAAAACACTGAGCTCTCATGATTCATGATATATAAATTATTTAAGACCAAAGAGAAAGCTGAGAAACTTCTGTTTATAATTAGCATAAACTCAATGTAAAAAATGGATAAAGATAGGCTAAAAATGAAAACTGTAACCCAATAAAATATTTGAATATATTTAGAAAAATTATAAACAGAGTAAAACTCAGCACTGTATTCAATACATGTCATGGTATGGAATATATAATATGAATATAATTCTACTCTAAGGACTTGATTACTGTAATAATTGTAGTTTATTGCACTGAGGTATTGAAGGAGAAGATCTATGTGATATACTTGAAAGATGTCAATTTTTTTTTTTGGTACCGGGGATCGAACTCGGGTCCTTGCGCTTGCGCAGCAGGCGGCGAAACCACTGAGCTAAATCCCCGGCCCTAGATGTCAATTTTTTTTAAATGTAGCACTCATTTCTTTAATAGCAACAAAGCTTTTGCCAAGTTAGGAATAAAAGTAAACTTTCTTAAGTCAGTATGGCACATCCACCTGAAACGTAAAGCAAACTTACACTTTGCTCCTGTCTTGCTTTGGGCAAATACCAAAGAAGCTTGTTTCCTGCTTATGTGCTAGCTTGGGGTGACCATTTTTGGTTACCAGGAAGTGCTCTGCATGCATTCTTTCCTGTAACTACCATCCTTTGCATCTCAGCTACCATTCCCTGGAACTTCTTCAGCTGGATGGAGGAGTACAACTGCAGGGTTGGTACGGACAGGCCTGCCACAAGGGTCTTCTTGTGCTTCCCACACCGGGAAGGACTAGGTCACAAGGTTGCACCTTCTCTTGAGGGAAGCAAGAGGTGGACCCTGGCTGCACCCACAAAGGAGGAGGAGGACAGCCATTCCAGCTCTGCCCTGGAATTTCAGCTTCTCTCCCTACCAAGGATTGACACGTACCCTTCACACACTCTATTCCGCCCCAGGGAAATTACTCCAAATCCCATGCAGTGAAAATGTCAATAATCTCATATTGAAAGGTCTAAAACACTGATGAAATCACAGAAGAAAATGACCAAATCTATATCATAGTTAAAGTTGCCCACTAGGATGCAGTATGAATAAAAATAGAGTACTTAAAAATGTAATTAATAATTTTATGCTAATAGAACTTACCTCCAGCAAAGAATACACAGTTTGCTCATTTATCCAGATAACATTTGCAAAATATTAGTCCTACAAGAAGCCTTAAAGAAGTTATAAACATGCACATACACACACACACACACACACACACACACACACACACTGCTCACAGTATATTAAAATTCAAAACTTAAAAAAAATTGAAACCAGGAATCTAGATTTTTAAGCCACTTATAAATAATTCATTGATACAAGTAATGTCAAAATTGAAATCTCTAATTATTTAAAAGTAAATGAAAATGACACCTCTCCTGTCTTATATAGAGTCTGTGTAGTCAACTTTCTTCCATATCTATTCAATAAATGGTTTTAAAAGAAAGGGGAAATTTTAGTGATGACCTTAAATCATAAAGAAAATAGTTTTTTGTTCTCTGATAAGGATGTCTTCACTATAGAAAAATTTCCTTTGAAGGGGAATTAAAATGGCAATGTTAGAAACAATAACTATACAGAAAATAGCTATTTAGGATGATTCTGTTCCAGTATCTCAGTTTGGAATTTTGTACAGCTTTTTAATAATCAGTTATATCCTAGTACTTCAAATCTTTTCTTAAAAGAAGTGGTAATCAAGATTATAAAAGAGTTAAATTTAGTGATAAATTCCCAATGTAAAAGGAAAGCATTATATGAAAGGTTTTTGAATTAAAACAGGATGGAGAGGTGGTAATTCTAATATAATTTTACCTCTAGGAGCATATATAATCAAATTCTTCTGGCATAAGTGTTTTTCTACTACTTTCTTATAGCTTATTCATTTGTGCATACTCAGTTCAGAGTATTTTATTCTAAGATTTTACCTATGGCTAAATAAATTTCTCATCGTCTGATTAGTATTTGTATACAAATATATTCATCAAATTGTCAGTGACAATTTCTGGAACACGAAAAACTGAGCTGATAACTTCATTTAAGGAGAGGAAAAGGAGTCTTTCGGTCTTGAGCTCTTAAATATTGAACTTTTTACTTTCTGAAGTGATACTGAAATGTACTTCTAATAGCAAAAATGCATGAATATTAGAATCAAATAGATTTGTATCAAGGAGTTGGACAAGATAAGGTTTGGAAGGTAATGGAGGCCTTGAAACTTCTAACATTGGTGGGAAGTCAGAGATTATATGGTGTTCAGTTGATCCCTTGATTTTACGCTAAGAGGAGTGAGGTTGCAAAATCTGCAGTTGCTAATGAACACTTCCCAGGCAATGGGTGCAAATCTGCACTCACAGTGAGGACTGCGACCTACGGACAGTGGTCACCACCTACCACGGGAGACTCTGAATGCGGCGAAGAGAGTAGCATCATCATAACTGGGGGCTCTCAGAGGGTGAGTTTAGGATCAGTCATACTGAGGAGAGCCTCAGAGTCACTTACAGGCCCTTGCTAATGTGCCAGATCTCAGGGAATCAGAGCCAAGACGAAGGTGCCATGGAGGGAAATGGAAGGAAGGGGACCCAAGGAAATACTGCTGGGAGTGTCTTCATTCATCCTCCGTAACTTTAACTCTGCTCCTGCTGGTGCTGCTCAGCTGTCCTCCTGTTCGGAAAAACGGACTCAAACTAGACCGTGTCTCATAGCTCTGGCGACCATGGCCACAGTGAGCCTCTGAGAGAAGAAGGCCAAGGGCAGAGATGACTGCGGATCACACGTCTCCTTCCTCTCACAGCTCAGCTGCAGAGGCCCCGCCCTTTCTTAAATCTGAGGGACGCAAAGACTGGGAATTCGAAGCTAATGTGTGCTACTGGCAGAATTCTTGGTAGAATTCTAAACAGGAAGTTTGTGGACTCTTGCTTTTAACGATCCACGGTTTCTTTTAACTAATTGTTTAAATCATGCCTGGAACCCACTTAATACCATTCATTTTTTCAAAACAAATCTCTTTTTTAAGTTAAACTAACCCAAGTTGATTTCTCATGTTTGCAAACAAAATGATGTTGACTAGAGAATACTTAATAGACTATATGATATAAACTAGCCAGCTATGTTTCAAGAACATTTTCCATTACAGAAAGGTTGCCTGCCACACTGCCATCACACCCACAGACCTTGGCTTCAAGAACTCATCTACCCCTAATTAGCTCTCAGAGGCCCTGGCTGCAAACACCATCCTCCCAGGGGTTAGGACTTCATTCAACATACGAATTTAACACAAGCACTCAGTTTATAACACCTCTACTTCCAAAAGCACAATTTTGGGAAAAGAAAAAATACTTGCCCAAGATTTAGTTTTTGTTGGAATAGATGGTAAGGAATATATTCCGAGTTTTCACGTGAAAGCTGAGATTTCATTTTGAAATCACAGAATATATTCCAAGGCTTCTTTTTAAGCCCTCAGGCAGGAATGGGATCATCCTATCAAGTACATAGCAGGTATACTGTCCCCTTTAGAGGTTTGGAAAGAAACCATTTTCTCTCTGATGCATGTCAGACAATAAAATGTTCAGCAAGGGAATAGGGTTGAGTGGGCACAAAATCAATTGGGCTTTGGACACAGGATAGTCACATAATGCTTAATTAAAATTTCCCTTTGGCTTTCTTGGAGAACTATCCAGAAGGTGGAAACTCATGAGGGCTCTTTTATAACCTGCCTTCACGCTGGTCTGATTTTAGTTGCCTCAGTAATACACAAAGTTCTATAAAAAAGACTTCAGAGAATTTTCTTTAAATAAAATTCACTGTGTAAAGAAGACCTCAGAGAATTTTCATTAAAAAGAGTTTCTGTAAAAGACTTACTGTAATTCCCCTGTTCCAAATTGTTTTCCAAATACTTATTCCAGACTTCTCCACACCCCTTGAAGCTCTTTTCTTCAGAAGCTCACTTAATCACCATGTCATGGGGAAGCTGAATCAAGACCTGAAATCAGCGTAGGGCGTTGTGTCAGCACTTTTAACATGTATTTAGTCCACATGCTCATTTAAACCTATAACTTGAACTCCATTCCCAAATTCTAACACAAGGCAAACCTTAAAGTATCTCAAAACGAGTGTCTATAGTTAACTGGCTCCCTTCTGGCTCCTTTGATGCTTTCTTCCTTTGCCACCTCCTTTACTTTTTTCCCTAAGGTCAAACTCTTTCCTTCCTGGTCCCTGTCTTCAGCAGCTCACCACAGCTCCACAGCCAAACACTCCCTTCTGCTCCAGGACTCATCCTAGCTACTGTTTATCCCATAATCACCAATCTGAGGGCACTTTCTCAGTAGAACAATGGACCGAATTGCTAAATCTCGGGGGCATTTTAAAATCAAATTTGCCTGCATCATAGAAATGCTTTAACTGACCGTCCTAAAAGAAACACCACAAAATTAAAAGAAATCTGAAAAAGAAAATAGAACTAATAAGTTCTGCAAGATTGCAGGACATCTGATCAATATATAAAAATTAACTTTATTCCTATACACTACCAATGAACAATCCAAAACTAAAAATAAGAAAACCATTTCATTTATAATAGCTTTAAAAGAATAAAATATTTAGTAATAAATGTTTTCAAGTATAGTGTTTGCATTTGAAAGCTCTAAGATGCCACTGAAAGAAACCAAGGAAGGCCGGAGTAAATAGAGTCAGAATACTTAAATTGCTAACAGAGCTAGAATCCCTAAATTGAGCTACAGATTTGATGAGAATCATTTCAAAATCCCATCAGACTTCTTTGGAGGAACTGACAAGCTGCCCTAAAATTCATATGGAAATGCAACTGATCCAGAACAGCCTATCATGAAAGAGTGATGGAATTGGAGGCCTCACACTTTCTAAACTTAGTACAAAGCCACTATAATGGAGAGACTGCAGTAATGGCATAAGAGTAGACATACAGATTGATGGAATAGGATTGACAGCCCCCAAAGAAACCCTCACATTTATGGTAAATGTTTGTGAGTTTGGGGGTTTTTTTACCAAGAGTCCCAAAAGACTCAATGGAGAAAAAGTGTTTTCAACAAACTGTGGCAATACAATTGCATATCCAAATGTAAAGAATGCAGCTGGAACTTTAGGTTCCAGCCCTACATTTAAAAACTCGAAAGTTACAATCTTATCATGATTGGGGAGGGGAAAATGTACAAAAGTAAAAATGAATGTCTGTTTATGGACCCTCCAGACTGAGGTTGTATGATATATAGCAAATACAAAATCTAAAGAAATAGCTGAATCCAGAGAGTCACTGAGATCTGCTTACTGGGGCAGAAATCACGGAGCCATGAATTGATAGGAACATGTAAACACCAAGCTTGGTAAATCTGCTGCACATGGTCTAGCATGAGAGTGAGGAACTGCTAGGAGCCTCTGCCATATGAGAAAGCCCTGTATGTTCGCGAGCTTTACATTCACCAGCCCTACCACATTTTCATAGTGAGGAGCCAAGAAACATCTCATGGTGACAGGTAGTAGGGGAACAGTTATCCTTTAGGAACTAGTCTCGAGCATTCTCCATAACCAAATCCTACTTTTTTTAGGATGAAGGCTTTACCAGGGGAAGCCCCTGTCCTGCCTCCAGGACACTCTGCCTGCCTGGCCTTCCCTAACTTGAGGAGACTGACCAACACACTAGTGAAGACCAAACCTCAGGCACATGAAAAGAGTAGAATTCAACCCTAAGATTACAGAACGCTCCCCTTCATTAATACTTTACCACCACCCACTGATGCTATAATATAAACATATTCAGGAAGGAAAATGACAGATCAATGTCTCTCAGGAACATAGATCCTTTTAGAAATATGAGAACTAAAATCCTTTTAGAAATATTAGGAAATAAAATCTAACAATATATAAAAAGAATTACAAAATACAACCAATGTGGAATTATTTCAGTTAGGCAACATTTAAATCAATATAACCTGCCACATTAGCTAAAGAAGATAGATCATGATGTCAATTAATGCAGGGGAAGCACTGGACAAAAACCAACAAACCAAGAAGAGAGATGAATTTTCTCAGTTTGAGAGAGGAAAAAAGAAGCAAGTATAACATTGAAAAATAGGATATTTTCCCCCATACTATTACGAACATAGACATGCCTCTCTTACTACTCCTATTCAACAGTATACTGCAGGTCCTAGCCAGTGTGATCAGACAAGAAAAAGAAATAAAAATACATACCAGTTGGGGAGGGGGAAAAAAAAGCTATCTTCATGCATAGATGACATGACTGCTGATGCAGGATATCTCAAGTAATCGACAAAAATAAAATAATCTCAGTCAGGAACAGTGGTGCATACCCATAATTACAGCATTTCAGGAAGCTGGGGCAGGAAGGTGGCAAATTCAAATCTTTCCTGAGCATCTTAGCAAGAACTTGCTTCAAAATACAGTAAATAAAATAAAAAGGGTTGCAGATGTAGTTCAGTAGTAGAGTGCTTCTGGGTTTGATCCATGGTACTAAAAAGTCCCTGGAACTAATAAATGATTATAGCAAGTCTGAAGGGTACACGACTAATTAATATACACAAATCTGTTGCTTACCTATAGATCAACAATAAACAGCTGGAATATGAAATGTTTAAAATATTATTTATGATAATATCCCAAAATGAAATAAATCTACCAAAATACATTGCAGAATCTATACCCAAAAGTCTACAAAATTCTGATAAATGAAATCAAAGCTCTAAATGCATAGAGAAATAGTCCATGATCATGGATTAGACTGCTCAATATCATCAATAAATCAGCTTTATACAACTTGATCTATATATTTAAGATAATCCTAATGAAAATCCCAAGAAACCCACTATATGCATATCAATAAGTTAATTCTAATGTTTATATGGAAAGGCAAAAGACCTAGATACTCCACCAATACTGAAGAATAAAGTCAGAGGATTGAAATTACCTAACCTCAAGCCTCACTGTGAAGTGAGAGTCATTAAGACAGTGTAGGGCTGGAGAAAGAATAGATGTATAGATCATGAAGATAGCATGGCGATCCCAGAAATAAATGCATACAAAGAGTAGACTGGTTTTTGACGAAGGAACAAAAGGGAGTCAATGAAAAAAGGATTGTTACTTCAACAGATGGCACTAGAACAATTGACTGTCTGTATGTAAAAATATAAAACTAGACAGAGAACTTAAACATTTAGAACAATCCAAGTGGATCAGAAGCATAAATACAAAGCTACAAAGTTTCCAAAGGAAAACAGAGGAGAAAATGATAAATTATTGAAATTACAGTTTTCCTCTCATAAAAGACCCTGCTAAGGTAATGAAAAGACAACACAGAGACTGGGAGAAAAATATTTGCAAAACACATATCTAAGAAAAGCATGTGTGCAAAATAAATACAGAACTCTTTAAATTCAAAAACAACCCAACTTCACAATGGGAAAAGATCTGAACAGACATAGGCACCTCACCATGGTGGACACCTAGCAAGGTTAGCATAGAAGGAGATGCTCTGTGTCGTTCAGAACATAAGAATCACAAATTAAAACATTACTCTACTCTACTCTTATTAGAATGCTCACTAACATTATCAATTACCAGTGATGATATGAAGCATAGAAAATCTTATTCATTGCCAGTAGAAATGCAGAATGGTACAACCACTACGAAAGTCTTGCACAGCTAAACCTACACTCTAGAAATTGCACTCCTAGATTCTTAATCAATTGTTTTTGAAAATTTGGATCCACGCAAAATCCTGCATAGAAACACATATAACAGGTACACTTATAATTGCCAATAACTAAAACCAATAACTTCTAGCAATAGATGAATGCATAAATAAATGGCAACACATCCACACAAGGAATACTACTTGGTAGTAGAAAATATATGAGCTATCAAGCCACAATAAGGCATATATGGGACTTAAATGCATGACTAAATAAAAGAAGCTAATCTGAAAAAGGGACATATGTGAAATTATGTAATAGAGTTTTAATTGCATCACATTCTGAAAAGGCACAAGGTAGAGATAGAAGATTGATGGATGCCAATATTTTGGAGTGGTAAGAGGAAGGTTTGAGTAGGTGAGTGAGGTGATATTAGAAGAGGGAACCATTCTGTATGAAACTGTAATTGCGCATATATGATATTATGTATTTGTCAAAACTACTGACCTTTACAGCACAAAGAGCAAATCTTCATGTATGCAAATGTTGAAAAACTATTTAGGAGGTTGGGGGAATCCCAGAATGGAATGAATATTATTACAAATCAATATAACTATCAAATATGTATCAATCAACTCATTGAAGGGAGTAAGGGTAAATGGCACTGACCCAAATCACTTTGGAAATGAGGGGAACCTGTAAAACTAAAAGCTGAGGAAACTGTTCATAAGCACTGTACTCTAGTTGATAAAGTTTTCCAATGGGAGTATGAATAACAATTTTGATATTGCTGTACAGTGGAACTGAACAATTTAGTAAAGGGAAGGAGGACAGTGCAAGCCAGGTCTTTTGTTGTTGAAATAAGCAAAGGGAAGACAATAGAATGATTTAGGTGGTAATGGATTAGGATTAAAGACATAGTACACTGCATATGTTGATTTAGCTTAATATAGGTGCAGATATTGCATATAGAAATATTCACAAATGTGAGTCTATACATAAGTTTGTATATGCACACATTTCCTTCTTTTATTAGGAGTGAAGGCCTAGAAGCAATGATACCCAAGTAGCAATGACTAATTTTGTGCCCAGATCTGTTCATAATACCATTGTCCAACAGTAGGAACTCAGGGATCCTTGGGAAAAGAGCTGATTCTATGTTTGGGCAAGAAGTTACACACACACACACACACACACACGCACATACACAGTGATAGGGGACTGGATACTACCGAAAAAAATTTCAAAGCTGGAACAAACGGAGAAACAAAAGAAAGTTGTACTGGATTATAATCTAATG